AACCGATATATATATATATATATATATATATATATATATATATATATATATATATATATATAGAGAGAGAAGAGAGAGAGAGAGAGAGAGAGAGAGAGAGAGAGAGACTCAGACTCAGAGACTGCCTCAGTCAGCTAGCCCTTTAGTTATTCTCTTATTCCGTGGTGTTTTACAGAAACCCGGTGTTCTTCATGAACATATAGCGCTGGTTGATTTGTTTTCAAAATTCCATAATTGTGTGTTTGTGTGAATCCTCCTTCCAGATGGATTTGGTCTTAAACCATGTTCAATGGTAAGCAGCAGCCCATTTGTCATTGTTAGTCTTTCTGTAGCAGCGCTGTCTCTTTTTATACACAGCGTGATTCGAGAAATCTGCATTCGCATTTCGACTCATTACCCAGCTTTTCTTTTCTTTTCTTTTCTTTTCTTTTCTTTTCTTTTCTTTTCTCTTCAGTCCTTATATCGTAGCACATACAGGACACCCAACACCAGGTGCCTTATGAGATGACAATACTTTAAAAAACTTTGATTGGCATTATCATGCGATGCGATTTAATGGAAATGCTATTACAGAATCCCAGAAATTGAGAATGTGTACGTGAAGTGAAGATAACTAAACAGATCCTACAGTGTTCCAATAAATATATTTGAATTTCTCAAACAGCTGTAAGTGGTAAGTGCCCACTGAGAATAATTTTCACTGCTTGCTTAATGAGGAAACATTAAAGCAGTTTTTGGTAGCAGAATCAGTGATGAGGAGGCAACTATAGGACCAGTCAGATGTGATGTGGGACAGTTCAATCCATAGCTCAGTGCTAAATTAGCTGTTCTTTCAAGCAGAATTTGTGCTGACTTTTTCTCCACTACGTTCAGGAGAGTTTCGAAATAAATTGAGACAGGACTTTTTACATGTTGCAGGCAGTCACAGATTCACACTCCCACACAGAAGACCTCCTGTCTATGACTCCTTACCCAAATATATATTTTTACACTAAAATGGTGTCGTTCAAATGCATAATTTTTCTGCAGCTTTCATCCAAACCTGGATTTGAAGATGCGCGGAAACTCTTTTCTTTATCCACTCGGCTATTTCTAGAAGATTAACACTTGGGAGCGTGCTGTTACAGGGAAAACAATTCGTTGCCAACGAATTGTTGTCAAGTTGTCAAGGATTAAATGTGTATTTTTTTTTTTAACCGAGAATAACCTTTATAGATGTAGGAAATAAAACGCATTTATGCGCATTTAAGCGTTCCACTGGAAATGCTTAAAATTACATGCTAATAGTGATAGAACAGAAATGAAATCTTACCTTATGAAGTCAGATCTAATTAGAAATAAAGCATGATAATGATACCGGTGAATTCTGTTTCTCATCATAGCAGCTGGTAGCCAATAAAACATGATTAAACAAAGTAAGGAAGGCATTTGTTTGATGTTGACACTTGACGTGAACATGAGTATTAAAAGATTACTGTGAAAATGTTATTTGACATGTATATAATCAGCTCTGGAGGGCATGGTGGATTAGCAGTTAGCACGTTTGCCTCACACCACCAGGGTTGGGGGTTTAAATCTGGTCTCCGCCCTGGAGTTTGCATGTTCTCCCTATGTTTTGGGGGTGTCCTCCGGGTACTCCGGTTTTCTCCCCCAGTCCAAAGGCATGCGATTTAGACTGATTGGCATTTCCGTAAGTGTGTGATTGTGCCCTGCGATGGATTGGCACCCCGTCCAGGATGTCCCCCGCCTTGTACCCCCGAGTCCTCTGGGATAGGCTCCAGGCTCCCCGTGACCCTCTGTAGGATAAGCAGTACAGAACATGAATGCATGGATAATCAGCTGTGCTGTAGTTGTAGTATGTTAACCGTTCATGACTAAGCGTTTAGAAATGGCATAAACTGTTACAGGGGGTGGGGGTTGTTCAACCCCAAAACCCTCCCATCTACACCTCACGCACCTCAACCCCAAACACCTCAAGGGCACCAATTGGGACAGTTATGGAGTATCTATATGTTTCTATTGACTCAGGACTACAACAAAAACGGTGTCTATGAAATGAATTCCTGCCGAAAAAATTCAACATCATCAAACATATCATTGTGAGCCTGATGAAACTGACGCAGGAAAATGTGAGAATACAGGGATGTCCAAAGCTCTCTTCCCATATACATCTAAAAGTTAAGGTCCGGGGCGGACAGTTATGTCCGGTGTAACGAGAGATCCATTTGTCTCTTTCTTGCATAAATTATACCAGAACTCTTGCATCTCAGTGTGTCAATATACTGTGTTTAATCCCGTTGCAGGAGATTACTGCTAATCTTCTATAGGTACCTGCCTACAGTGGCCTGCATATAAAGAAACATTCTGAACGCAACATCCTTTGATTGGGGTTGACCTTTTTACCCTGACCCTTTTACACATTTTGCAGTTCATATTATCCTTTAGCGCAGAGGTGAGAACGCAGCATTGGCGTGGAAATCCACATTTCTCTACTTTCTATACATTTTCTCATGTTGCTTCCGAAAGATTCGGGGCTGTTTACTGAATTGGGTTAAATGTGTGTAATGAGATTTTAATACGGAAGTTGTGGACGCTCGTATTTAGAGCTCAGCTGTAACTATTACAGACTTGAGCGCTATTCAAATATCGGCTTGAGCTTGGAATATGTCCAGCGCACCTGTCTGAGAGTTTGTTCTAATCACAATATGTGACACTGAAAATGATATTTTGGGCTGTAAATGTACTCAAACACATTATGGAATGCCATTTGAAGCATAACCCAATTATAACCCAATTCATTCATTAATAGTATTGTCCCTATATTGTCTGTGCATTGAGGACATCAGATGAGACAGCATCTTAATCAGAGACAATGCTTTTCTTTAGGAGGACCAAATTATTTTAAGGATAAAGTTCTGAATGAACTTAATTAATTCTCCTATTATGTTATGGGGTCAATTTGACCCATGTCCACATTTGTGATACTGGTTAATCTCTCCTCTTCTCTTTGAAAATTTTGGACTTTCTTCATTTAGGGTCATAAACTTATATGCAAGTATTTCTTCTTATGGTTTCTTATGTCTCTGAATAATAAAGGTTTAGTAAAGCCATAATAAAGGTTTACTGTATTAAGCTGCTTTTTTTGTGTGCTGTTTTTGTGTGTATTCAAACCGTGGAAATCATTCTGAACCATAATATAATCGATGTGAGGTTTTTTTTCCAACGTAATAAGAGGGTTAAAAGTGAGCTGACGGCGTAGCAGATGAGCGTTTAGTCAGCTTTTCATTCAAACCATTGGCACATTTTCATTAGCAGAGAGCACATCAAACTTTGGCATTGTTTCATGAATTCGACAACTCGAAATATGATTTCATGACCTCGATTTAGCATCTCGTCGCTTCACAAAGGTTTAACTTAACTGTCAGAACAGATTTAATGTAAAATAACAGTATCAAGTGCTATTTTAAAAGCTGCTAAATAATAAGCATTGAAGGCATATTTATTAATTAAACCAAATTTGTAGTGTGATAAGTACTATTAGGACTAATCATATTGGCAATACAATAGACCCCTTATTTATTTCAATGCTCACCATCTTCTTATGGATACACGGTATGGTCAAAAGTATGTGGACGCACGACTATCACACCGATATGTCCTTGTTGAACATTCCATTTCAGTTGTACTCCACTTTGCTGTTATAATAACCTTCACTTTTCTGGGAAGGCTTTCCAGTTGATTTTGGAGCTCTCAGTCGGCATTTTCTATCCCCTGGTTTTTTGTTTTTTTCTGGCTTTTAGGCAAGTGCTGTGTTTACATTTGGTGGTGTAGGTGCTATAGAAAAACCCCGTCTCGGATGTTTTTACTGAAGGAAAGTCTGGCAACCTTTGAGCTTTGCGTAACCCGACTGTGATGAAGAACTTTCCCCATGTAAATACTGACAAAACTTTTAAACTTAAGACATCATCTATGAATACGGTCCTCTGAGGTGTGTCACTTCATTGTAACAATCACAGTAATACATTCAGAGGAAATATACACAAGTCAGCATAGATTAAAAAAAAGACAACTTGTTGAAGCTAGGTCTAAGGGTATAGTAGCAGTCTAAACATCACTCATAACCTCACTTATTTTCATGAAACCTGCTGAAATTGCATTTATATACATTGTAACAGTTTATAAATCCCAAAGAGATCACTTTCAAGTTTACTGAGATTAAACCAACGCAGTCTTAAATAAAAAATAAAAAAAAAAGAAGCAATTCCACCACTCTGACCAACTGAGTATTGACATATTAAGTGTATGGTGGTAGGGGAGCCTGAGAAGTGCTCAGTGGGAGCACTGTGCAGAGGAGAAGAGAGGAAAGGTGGATAATCACAACAGCATGTGAGACGAATTATACGGGTTCTACAGTATGCTACTCTGAATTTTAATTTCACACCACGCTGTCGGAGCACAGGAGCGGAACTAACATCTCACGCTGACGGCTTCACCACGAAGGTTCGTGTTTCTTAATGTTTAATGCAATGATCCATATCTTCTCCGAATTTAACTCATCTCAAAGCTCAACTTACATGAAGGCTAATCCTCCTTCAACATGTAGCATTGATGCTCAGAGAAGCCACAATTCCACTGATACTGAATAACTGGCTATGAGATATTTGATCCTGTCTTTATTTCTATTATTATTATTATTATTATTATTATTATTATTATTATTATTTTTCATCCATCTACTCTCTGTACTGCTTATCCTACACAGTGTCTACACAGTGGAGTCTGGAGCCTATCCCAGAGTACTCGGGGCACATGGCAGAGGACATCCTGGATGAGGTGCCAACCCATCGCACGGCACAATCACACACACATTCACACACTATGGACAATTTAAGACATGCCAATTAGCCTATCATGCATGTCTGTTGGACTGGGGGAGGAACCCAAGGTACCTGGAGGAAGCACCCAAAGCACGGAGAGAACATGCAAACTTCATGCACACAGGGTAGAGGTGGGAATCGAACCCTCAACCCTGGAGGTGTGAGTCAAATGTACTAACCACTAAACCTCTGTGCCCCCTATTATTATTATTATTATTATTATTATTATTATTATTATTATTATTATTATAATTGTTCATAATAATAATAATAATAATAATAATAATAATAATAATAATAATAATAATAATAATAATGTTTTTTTTTACTTTTTTTTTTATTGTTTCACTTTTAGTGAAAATTGGGTATTAAGAGATTATCCAACATTACTCTGTGAAAAGCAAAAGGTGTAGCAGCACAAAATTAAAAACTTCACCACGAATGATCCGCAAGCCACCGTGTTAATTATTACATGCTCCAAAACCCCGGGACTAAACTGTGTGACGGGATGGAGTGACCTCCAACTCTTTCCACAACCACACCTCATGCCAAATCCCAGCGAGGGCTAATGAACAAGAGCAATTCTGAGTCAATAAAGTCAGAAATCGCTGAGAACGAACTCCTCAACCATCTGTATTCAATTCAACTCGATTTTATTAGATTTTTTTTTTTCATAGAATAGTTTAACAATCGATGTTGTTACAAAGCAGCTTTACAGAACTCCAGATGTAGATTTAGACCTTAATGCACAAACCAGAAGTATCAGTCAAATGGCTTCTTGGAACATAATCAAATTTGGTGTGATAAATGCAAAGACATATGGGTCTGTGAGAGTTATTATAGATAGATAGATAGATAGATAGATAGATAGATAGATAGATAGATAGATAGATAGATAGATAGATAGATAGATAGTAGATAGATAGATAGATAGATAGAATAATTGATTGATTGATTGATTGATTGATTGATTGATTGATTGATCGATCGATCCCCAAGGGGAAAATTTGAAATAATTGAACAGCATTAATTTACTATACCTTGTACTGAAGCATAGTAAAACTTATATACTATGATTAGATGATTGTCTCACCTGTTTTGCATCACCTTCTTATTTCAACTGGTCACATCGCTATTAGTCCTAAATTGCCCCTGTCATAACTTTTGTGGAATATGTTGCATGCATCACTTAAAAAAATAAAATAAATTTAAACTACGCAGTTGATTAGGTAAAACATCAAATACCTTGTCTTTATACTTTTCCTGTTTAAATACAAGTCAAAGACCATTCCCAGATCACTCCTCTTTGTTTTTTATTAGCATTTTCCATACTGTCCCAACATTTTCGGAATTGGAGTTGTAAAATGTTTTAGGACTTCCTGACTTTAGTGAGCTTTCATTCTTATTGTGTCATATTACTCCTGTTCCATGTTAAGACCCCATTTATTACTGTTGTAGTTATATTTAATACAGTGCAGGAGAAATTCAATCGTTCCGAGCTTTTGAACCGGATTTAAAAAGAAAAACTTATTTTATTATTATTATTTATTTATTTATTTATTTATTGCTATTTCTGGATACAGCTTGAAAAAGTTGTTGTTTTTTTCACTCTGAACCCTAACAATTCTGCTGCTCTCATAAAATAAGGAGAAGAAAAAAAAAAAAGGAAAGATGCATCCTTCAGATAGTAAGGTGTGTGAATCATGAAGGGACTTACTTCGTCCGGGTTTTATGAGCCAAACCTGAGATTTATTTGAATCCTGGCTTCTTCTTCTTCTTTTTTTTTTGTTATGTAAAATAGAACCCTAAGGCTTGCATGCTTTATAACTTCCTCTGGAAAAATGCCAATGGGACAGAATGCATTCAACCTCAGATGCTGAGACCATAAAGACACTGCATTTCTCCCTGACTGACAATTCTCTCAGAGAAGGGCAGAGTGGAAAAGAGAGAGAGCGTTTGGCAGAAAGAGATTGAAGACAGAATGAGAGAAAGAGAAAGAGAGAGTTTGTGTGTGGGGGGGACAATATAACAAAAATGTACTGTATATATAGGAAAGTTCTCTGGTGAGAGCATTATGGGTCGTAAGAGAAGCTATGAACACTAACCCTGTTCCTGCTCCTACACGAAGCTTTTACAGTTTTAAAATCTGAATATTTTGTTGCGTACTTCTGAGCTGCTTAAATTCCCATCAGCTCGCACTGGTCAGAAGGTTATTGTGTAGTTTTGCATTTCAGATGTTAGATCTCCTGTAATCATTATCAGTTCTCACTTTCTGTAAGGCTTTAATGTTGTCAAAATATAATGTCTTCATCAAGAAGACATACAGTAGAAAGGGTGTATAACAATGTTCCCTGTAAGACAGAACCCACTCATTTCTGTCCTCTGTGATGGACATTTTGATTTTGCATGTCCCCATGTACTCAGGAAATGCTGGCAATTTCCTCTTCCTGTCTGTACAAAAAAAGCTTCTGTTACACCAAAAGTTGAAAAGTTAACTGATGTTTATGTTATGCTGTTTTTGCTACATGATAGTTTCTTGTTTATTAGCACATCATGAACTAAGATGTCTAATTGGTCTTTATAATGGACACCAAGATGATTGAATGTATTTTGTTTTCCACATTGCTGAAAGCTGAAAGGTTCTGAAGGGTTTTGTGAGCTACCGAATAACCATTTATGTATAAATAAATACATTTGTGCGTGGAGTGGAGTTTGGATGTTCTCTCTGTGCTACAGGGGTTTCCCCCGGGTACTCCGGTTTCCTCCCCCAGTCCAAAGACTTGCGTTGTAGGCTGATTGTTGTCTGTAGTGTGTGAATGGCTGTGTGAGTGTGTGTGATAGTGCCCTGTGATGGGTTAGCACCTCGTCCAGGGTGTCCCCCACTTGTGCTCAGAGTTCCCTAGGATTGGCACCAGGCTCCCCTTGACCCCGTGTAGGATAAGTTGTATGGATAATGGATGGATGGATAAAAATAAACGAGTAGATAGATAGATAAAATAAAACGGTCAGGAATTTCGCCTAAAATGATGAAAACTCAGACTGATGTTTTTTTTTCTTTCTTTCTGAAATGCAAATGTTTTTCTGTGTATAAAATATTTTGACACTTCTACTTTAAAGAAGCAAAACAATGTTGAAATGCTTGTATTTCCTTACCCTAATGTTCTGCATTGATCAGGAGTAGTGGTGGCTTGACGGTTAAGGCTCTAGGTTACTGATCCCGTGGTTCAAGCCCCAGCACTGCCAGGCTCTGGGTTACGGATCAAAAGGTCTGGGGGGTTCAAGCCCCAGCACTGACAGGTTATGGGTTACTGATCAGAAGTTCTCTGGGGTTCAAGCCCCAGCACTGCCAGGTTCTGGGTTACTGATCAAAAGGTCTGGGGGGTTCAAGCCCCAGCACTGCCAGGTTCTGGGTTACTGATTAGACGGTCAGGGGCTCAAGCCCCAGAACTGCCAACTGTTGAGCCCTTGAGAAAGGCCTCTCTGCTCCAGGGGTGCCATATCATGGCGGGGGGTACGCTAAGAAAAAAAGAATTTCACTGTGTGCCCAGTAAAGACTCATTATTACCCTTATTATTATTATTATTCAGTATTAGTTAAGAAAAGAACCAGTTTCACTAGCGCAACTAAAAACAATGCTTAAAGGTATCTTAATTACTAGCGTGCTACATAAACAAAGCTTTTCATGGTCACTATGTAAACCAGGGAACCATAAACAGAGCTAAATCAAATGTACCATGGCATCCCTGATTGATTAATACGTAGGTTACTCATTTTGGTATCAGTACTGTTGACTAGGAGTACCAAAAAGATGTACTTATATTAAGGGTTTTTTAAAAAAATGGTATCAATGCATCCCTATTTCAACACAAAAATAGATTTTTCACTGGAAAATACCCTACATGAGTTTTCTGATGTAATGAACATGGATAAATTTTGTAATGTGCTAGCGGAGCAGTTTTACTAGGAGCACACAAGCAGATTTCTGAACAGCGAATCAAAGCTGCAACTGAAAATCACGTAGATCACACACTGCTATTCTGAGAGCAATCAAAACCCTGACAGCATCACATGAGGTTCAGGACTTCCAAAAAAAACGTGCAGCAGTTACAAATGACAAAGTATTAATCGGAAAAAGATTGGAGATCCGTCTCAAACACTTTCTTAAAAAATAAATAAATAAAAAAGTTGGTGTGCATTTAAGAACTGCTGCGTGGTTTGCATCATTAGGCTGCAGCGCCGACGTTATGGCTTTATTAATGAGCTCCTGTGCCAAGTGCTTTGGTTTTAATGAGCTGCTGTGCCTTTATTCTAAGACATGTTATAATATTGACTGCTGGATGTGTGTGTGTGTGTGTGTGTGTGTGTGTGTGTGTGTGTGTGTGTGTGTGTGTGTGTGTGTCTGTGATGCTGCTTAGCCTATTTGCCGCACTGGGTTTCCGAGAGCTCTGAGCACTGAAGTGCTGAGGTGAGAAATGATTTCCCATGTGTAAGCTATACAGGGCTGCTGCAGGTGTTTGTTTCACCATGTGCACTTAACTGTAGGCTGCATGTAACTGCATGGGTGATTTCATTTAAACGTTTGTTTGTTCATGCATTTTGCAAACCAGAGACTCCCATCTCTATAAAAGCTTGGAGGCCAGCCCTTTACATTAAAGGTGCAGTTTGTAAGGTTTCAAAGTGTTTATAATGTTGTAACGATCATGCCATTTCAAATATTCATTCATTTATCTTCAGCAAGCTCTTTATCCTGGTTAGGGTTTTGATGGACCTGGAGCCTATCTTGGGAAAAGGCGGGAATACACACATACGTTAATACACTCATTCGCACATAAGGGTACATATTTTTAATTATATACTGTATTTATATACAGTATATACTCACGACACATCTACTAATTGTCAGTTATTAGAACACCGGCAGAATTTCTTAACATAACGAACTACATCAGTTCAATGCAATTGTCCTGTTAATTAAGCTAAAACTAGCGTTACATTTATGGCATTTGGCAGACGCTCTTATCCGAGTTGACTTACAATTATCTCATGCGTACAACTGAGCAGTTGAGGGTTAAGGGCCTTGCCCAAGGGCCCAACAGTGGTTGCTTGACAGTGCTGGGGCTTAAAACCCTGATCAGTAACCCAGAGCCTTTAACCACTGAGCCACCACTCCATATTTCATCACGGCTGTGATTTGGC